AGGAAGAGCTGCTTAAACAGCAGCCAGCTCTCCTGGACTCCCCTACCTTCGAGAGCCATAGCCCATGGAATTCTTCCAAGTAGGTCCCTGAGGAGGCCAAAGTTTGCTCTCCTGAAGTCCAGTGTGGCAGTCCTACTTGTTGTTCTGCTTCCCCCTCTCAGAATCCGGAACTCTACCATCTCCTGGTCCCTGCAGCCAAGCCTGCCCCCTACCTTCACATCCTCAACCAGTTCTTCTTTATTTGCCAGCATAAGGTCCAGTAGCGCTCCATTTCTTGTTGGCTCCTCTACCACCTGGGTCAGAAAGTTATCGTCGATGTTCTGCAGGAACCTCCTGGACTGTGTGCACCTTGCCGTGTGGTCCTTCCAGTTGATATCCGGATAGTTGAAATCTCCCATGAGAACCAGGGCCTGCAATTGTGAGGCTACTCTTAGCTGTCGATAGAAGGCCTCGTCTACTTCCTCGTCCTGATTGGGTGGCCTATAGTAAACACCCACCACAGTGTCACCCATGCTGGCCTGCCCCTTAATTTTCACCCACAAGCTTTCAACTTGTTCTTCATCCGCTCCTGGGTAGAGTTCTATACATTCCAGTTGCTCCTTTACATAAAGAGCAACTCCACTGCCTCACCTCATAGGCCTGTCTTTCCTGAAAAGCACATAGCCATCGATGGCAGCGTTCCAGTCATGCATGTTGCCCCACCATGTCTCTGTAATCGCGATGAGATCGTGGTCCCGCAACCACATACAGAACTCCAGCTCTTCCTGCTTGTTCCCCATGCTGCGCACATTGGTGTAAAGGCATTTCAGTGAGGCAACTGAGCACCTAGGCTTCTCTGGAGGGATGAAAGAGGATCTGCCACAGCCAAGCCCACCTGAATAAACACTTTGAGAGACTGAAATAACAGTAAAAGATAAGTCACAACATCTGAATATAATCTTCTGATCCCAAAGAACGAAACAATGTTGTAATACCATTCTTTAAGCAAAGAGTAGTAATAGGAAAATCTCAATGCTTGAGTTACAGAACTGCATTCCCTTCCAGGCAAAGCCATGTGAAACAAGCGTTTTAAAAATACACAGAATTGTTGTTAAAGACCAAATAGTTACCTTTCTGACTCTATGTCCCTTATTCTTCATGTTTATTTCCTCGTGAGGTGAAGGAGACCTGTCTGAATGATCACTCTTTTTTGGGCAAAGATTCCCAGGGGTATTTCTTTCTACCAACTGAAGCAGCTCCATTTGTCGTCTTACTTTGTTTTCTTCCCTTTGTTTTTGTAGCTGTTTAGGGTATCTTTCTGATGCTGGAATGTATCTTTTCCCAGGCTTGTTTATGTTCCAGTCAGGTCTTTTGTTGCATTTTTCTGAAGGCTTAATTTGTCTTTCTTTTCTTGCAAATTGTTCATATAGATCACTGTAAATGCCACCATTCTCTTTTCCTGAAATTTTATTTTTTTCTACATACTTCATTTCCTTCTGGTGTTTTCTGCTGCTAGAGGTTTCTTTATATTCTATGGAAATATCAGGCGATTCGCAACACACAGTTCTTTCCTCAGCTGACTCCATGTATGCTGAAGTATTGAAGTCATCTGAAAAAAAACACCATTGTATTTTAACTGCAAGTCTAAGCTATTCGAATTACTTGTTTCAGTTTTGTATATGTATCAATCTACCATTACTGATTTTATTCAAAAATTGGTTGTTAGTTTTATAATGTTTTTTACTCCTTTTGATGTGGAAGATAGATAGGACCAGTAGACACAAACTGAATAACGAGGGGGAAAAAAAAGATTAGAGAACAAAATGAAGTCACTGTAAAGCAAAATAATTCATGTAAAATGAAACCACATTATTTTTAAAATGTAGAATTCTATTTCTGTCATGGTACCCAATGGTAAAGAGCAAAACACAGCTTCTGTTTAGTTTTTCAGCATGCCAATGGTTTGGTCATATTCACAGCACTACGGGGAGCAAATCATTTTCCTAACCCTTGTCTTTCAATGGAAATATTTTGTTCAATTTTTAAATTACTACCAATCCAGCTTCCTTCTTTACTAAGGGGCATACACAAAAACATTATTTAATTTGTAAACTCTCCAAATTCACAGTAAAATTTCTACCAGCACTGTCAAAACCAAAAGTATTAATTGTTGCTTAAGCAAATAGAAATAAAGGTTCCGCTTCACAAGTGGTAAGGATCTAAATACAAGGCATAAAGTGAGTGTAATTTTCCACTGATCCTGCTCATTCACACCTCATCTACAACATTACCAGATGTAGACTGAGTTTGATCTGGGTTTTTTAACAGTGTGATACAAAATCAAGATAAAGACTGGAAAGTATTCTATCTAGATGGACCTGCAATTCTGTCTGGGTATTTAGCAAGAATTGTAGAAAGCTTTTCTGAATATTTGAATGTAAGCTCTCATTTTCTAATGAGTCTAGTTTTCTAATTCCAGAATTACCGACAATGTTCCTGCCAGTATTTTCAAAGACTCATTAGGAACCCAGCCCTGCTTGACACCAAACCACGTTATGTAAACCTGTGAAAGTTCACACTGAAGACTACTACAAATACATGTTTAAATGCCTTAATAAAATTAGTCCTGCGTGGCTTGTGACCATGATGCTAAGTCAACACTGTATTTCAGACTGAGCAATTTGAATCTGTAACTGGTAAGTATCAAATATACAGACATAAAATTTATTTAGAAGAATATAGAGATATACTGTAATATTCCAACATGGCTGTGTCTATCCAAGTATTTCTTTCTAGCTTTAGTCCTTTCTGAATGACACTGATTTGGCCCCACAGCTCAGTTTCACAAATACGCTGTACTACTGCCTCTCTTAAGGTACATCAGAGTAATTAAATTCAAGGGCTGCATACCTGTCTGTACAGCAGTGTCTTTCCGAGGAGAAGTCTGCTGATCGATGTGGCTCTTAGTGTCATCAGAAAAATTGTGATTTTGATGTGAAATGTCAGTATTACAATTTTCAAATTCTGCATCACATAAAAAGAAGTAAGTAAAATTCTTTGATTTAGTAACGTATGTTCCATTTAAACCATGCTATCAAGTTATCAGACTATTGTAGTTTAGAACTCAAAGCAAGACTGAGAACTATGGTTCAGATCCTAATACTCTCCCTTTTTCACTGGAAATCAAATCCACAGCACACGGGTCTGAATATTCCCTATACATTCCTGATAATACTTTTGTATTTCTTCCTTTAGGTAATACAGTATTTGAAGCTTAATGAAATACAATATTCTCTGTATTAGTTAACACTATTTGATATTTGTTTGGAGGGCTCTTTAAATAAGTTGAAATGAAATTTGGTTCATGAATCAAAGGAGCAATTTCTGACTGAAACGCACAAAGGGAAAAAACCAAAACAAAAACCAACAACTTTCATGCAAACACCAAAGGAATAGGCAAACTGAATATGAAAGACTTTTACTTGCCATCACCAAGATTCTTCTGAAGTTTTGAAATGTCATGTCCCTTTTGAGCCAAGTCTCGAATGCGCTGTTCTTGTTTTAATCTCTGCGCTAATTCTTGAGCTTTCTGCATTGTCTGATAAAGCTCATTTGTTTTAAGAGTCACAAGTTCCTTAAAAAAAAAAAAAAAGTAAACATATGTACTCATTTATTTTGAAAATAAAATTAACAGGATTATTTAATCTCTATATAATCCTCAAGGTTTACATATATTCTTATTTTTAGTAGAGCTTTCTCTTTTTAAAACATAAACAAAACTAGTTGAGTAGATGTAATATGTAACACAGAACTTCTATGATTATAAGGATAAATTCAGAACCTCTGGTGTTCTAATGAAATATGTTCAATCCTGGCATTAAAAAGTGAGCGTCTATATCCTCAAAGTTACTTGGATATTTATCTCTTTTCTAATAAATTCATCTATTCCTCAATGCCATTTGATTTCAGCTGTCTATGACTTCCTGTATCATGTGGTTTAACGAAATACAAGCCTAAATAAAAATAATTTAAACCCCCACCTTTCTCCTACTTCCACAGAAAGGAGACAGTAGGAACCTCCCTAACAAAGGCAGAACATCCCTAAGTATGAGGGTTACAGTTTCCAGACTCAGCAGGTTCAAGGTGCAGGAGACCGGGCCAAGGTAAATCTCCTTTCCAAACTGCTAGTACCATCTCATCCCCACTTCTTACTGCATTTGCAGGTGGAAAGAACAACTGAAAGCGTAACATGTTTTGAAGGAGCTGAGCTATTATAGAGAAAGATGACTTTCCCAATTTTTTACCAGTTTGTTCTAGCATCTACAGGCAGATGCTATACGTTTCCATCCAGAAAATGCAGAAAAAGCAGGGATCCATATTTCTGCAGGTTTTAGAGGAGGGTGTGTTTTTGGAATCACACGGTCTTATGACATCATGGAATTCTGCTACTGTTCCAAACATGAAGAAAACAGTAACAGCTGCTACTGTGCCAAAAGGAAGAATAAAACATCAGATGAGGCTTTTAACCCTCTACAGACTTCTGTAACAGTTAAGAATGTATACAATGCAAAATTTGTACTTACCAAAGGTCAAAATGTTACTTTTAACTTTTGTATGAAGGGGTATGTGAAGCTCAGCAATAGTTACAGAGGAGAAAGCTCTAGAACATGAATGACTTTAAAAATTACTTTTACAGAATATATTCTGAAAATCCTTTAATCCAGAGCGAAAGCACATCCAGTCAGATACAGTTCGTGGTACTGAAGCGTCTCAAAAGCATCAAGTTAGCAACAACAATAATTGGATCACATTGAGATTTTTTCTTTATTTGAAGTATGCATTTGAAAATGCACGTTTATGCACTATTTAAAACTACAATTCCATTTTTGCCAATTCTTATCCATTTATCTTCCTGAAAAGGCCCTTGTCCAAAAAAAGAAATCAGCCTTAAACCCGTATGGTGTTACAAGTTTATGTTTATTAATTGCGGAAACAGATTTTGATTTCAAATGCCTATATAGTTTTAATTTTCAAAATGATGAGGCGACACCATTTTGAAGGTGAAGGAAAACAACTGTTTTCCTCAGAACCCAGTATTAGTACAGACTATCTGCACTACAGAAAATGCAAAAACCCACCTCCTTTTGTTTTTGTTTCAGCAGTTCTTCTTCAAACTGTTTCTGCATTTGTTCGTTTTCTCGTACTAGGCGCTGTTCTTCCTCTTGTTCTTCCCATTTTCTCTGCTCTTCCTCCTGTTGTTTCTTCTTCCGTTTCTCTTCTACTTGAGCCATTATTGCTTTCTAGTAATATCAAAAAAAAAAAGAAAATTAAAAGATATAACATTAAAGGTATTATAAGCTATATATTCATATACTTCCATATACGAGTATAATAGTTGGATTTGGACAAATTAAAAACAAAAAAATCAAGACAGTTTCTTTTGAACACTTTTGTTTCTTTTAATTTCTCATAAGAGAGGTAGCTGCCTGCCTTTTCTTTGGCAGGGGGTGGAGAGAACCACCAGCCCAATAAAGCAATGTGAAATACTCAGAAACAAAGAGAAGTAGCTCTTTCTGTTTTCACAAAATGCTTTTACTTTGCTTGTAAAGAAATGGTGGTCTGATTTTTAGCTTATGTACTGAAAGCTAGTATTTTGATCTAGCAGAGTAACAGTTTGACTAGGACAGGCTCATTACGTTTATACTAAGACTTCTTTACACTGTGCTAGAGACATCATCGTGCAGATACATACTCAAGAGTGCCACAGAAGTAATGTAAATGACAGTAAAGTAGGTAGATAAAAATTTAAAGATTCATGGAGTGGGTACCTGTAAATATCAGTCCTCCTGATGACAGTGGAGACTGAAGAAAAATGCACACAAACCTACTAGAGCTCTAAAAACTGCACTGAGCATTTTTTGAGGCAAGACTTCAGTTACAGAAATGCAATCATCTCTGTACAAAAAATATTAAAAAAAAAGGGTAGAGTCTAACTGAATGAAATACCATTGAACAACTGCAAACATGTAATCTTGTCCTGGTTTTGGCTGGGATAGACTTAATTTTCTTCCTTTTAGCTGGTATAGTGCTGTGTTTTGGATTTAGTACTAGAAGAACATTGATAACACACTGATGGTTTAGTTGTTGCTGGGTAGTTCTTAGACTGGCCAAGGACTTCTCAGCTCTGCCAGGTGCACAAGAAGCTGGGAGGGGACACAGGCGGGACAGCTGACCCAAACTCACCAAAGGGCTATTCCGTACCATATGACATCATGCTCAGTATATAAGATGGGGGAATAAGACGGAAGAGGGGGACGTTTGGAGTGACAGCGTTTGTCTTCCCAAGTCACCGTTACGCATGATGGAGCCCTGCTTTCCTGGGGATGGCTGAGCACCTGCCTGCCTGCCCATGGGAAGCAGTGAATGAATTGCTTTGCTTTTCCTGGGCATGTGGCTTTTGCTTTGCGTATTAAACTGTCTTTATCTCAACCCACGAGTTTTCTCAGTTTTACTCTTCCAATTCTCTCCCCCATCCCACTGTGGGGGGAGTGAGTGAGCGGCTGTGTGGTGCTTAGTTGCCAGCCGGAGTTAAACCACAACACATCTGAAGCATAAAAGTCAAGTACCTCACTGGATTCTGGTATTAAATCTCATGCTTTATTCATGTGACAACACTACCTTTCATCCTTTCCTCTCATTAAATTAGTGTTAGTAAAACAGAAGTCTACCTGATGTTCTAACTGCTTCTGCCGCCGCCTGTCTCTCTCTTCAATCTGTGCCGGGTCCAAGAGAGCTGTCATTGAACGGAGGAAACTATGAACAAAAGAAACGTGTAAATGTTTTTTATCATAAGAAAACAATCCTAGACCCCTTCTTAATTAGAATCAGTTAGACTACAGGTAATACTTTCATATTGAGATTATTGCATTGTATTGGTTTAGAATTACGAAATTCATTTTACTAAGGAACAAAGTAAGGTTATTTGCAGGTAAATTTTATTAATGAACAACGGAAGCATTTGTGTCTTTCAAAAGTGAATCAACAGGTATTTCTGAAAAAACCAAAAGCCAAATGAATAAGATCCAAAGATCAGATTTAAAGAATCTTATTCAATTTGTTTTTTTTTTTTTTAAATTTCTGAGGAGGTATCAGAAATGTACTGGCTAGGAAGATGATTATTATTCTTACAAAGCTCACTCACCTGACTTTCTGACTGTGTTCCAAAGCACTGTTTTTAGCAGCTTTTTCTGCATTTCCCACCTTTGAGGGCATGAGGTTGCCTAAAGCTGCAGGTGAAAAAGGATGAATAAAAGCAGTCAGCTCCTTAGGGTCAGGTGACAGGCAAAGACTTTCAGGCTGCTTTTTGTATATTCCATTTAAGGGGTGTTGTGCATTAGCATTAAGGTGGTTCTTTAAAGAATCAAAATGCATTGCCCATCTGTCATGCTCTTCAGCCTAAATAAATATGAAGCAACAAAAAAAATGGAAATGCACTCAATTACACTGTTTCTATAAAGTGTAGTTAACAAAACAGAAAATACACATTTTGTAAAACAGTAGTTAATTCTCTAAACAGGAAAACAGAAGTCCCTCTGTTGCTTAAAATGCAAGTCAGATCAGAAATGATACTGCTGATCCTTATGCTTGGTCAGCAAAACCATATTGCTACTATATTTTCAGGAAAAAACCCACAAAAATTAGAAAGTGGAAAAAAAATATTGAAAAACGGAACAGTAAGTTAAAATGGATTTAGGCTTTTTGCTACTGCTTTTTCAATTTATATTATTATTCCATTCCATAATTTTTCTAACAGTTCTGGGAACTGCTTGATTGAGAGGTCAGTACCCTGTTCACTCTACCATACTCTTCTCCTCTTGTGTACATATTCTGTCTCTAGTAACATGAACAAGTGGCATCTTTTACACTGTCCTACTTTACCCCCTCCATTTTAGTTCTGGATGGTAGCAGAACTAATGGGCTTTGGGCAGAGATATTGATCTCTAATTTCCTATTTTCAACTAGACAGGCCCATTATAAAATAAGCCTTCTTTCATAATCTCTTCCACCTACAGCAGCCACCACTGTAGCAAAGTGCCTAAAATTTTTGTAGAGGTGACATATTGGGCTTAAGTCTTTCTTTTGTACCACCCAGGCTTATCTTTTTGGCTCAATGTTGGCAACTGGGACATTCAATGTATCACTAATAAAAGATTTTTACCTAAGGGGCCTTTGGTTTTGCTATACGTACTGACTCAGGTTTTCTCTTCTTATGAAAAGAACTGTTTCTGAAGGGACTAGAGTCTCAAAACTTGCATTCTGCAGGAAAAAAACTAACATAATCTAATCTAATCTAATCAGCTTCCTGGGAGTCCTTTCATTAAAGAAAAATTCCCTTGCAGCAGAAGAGTTTCACACCTACTTTAAAACAAGCAAGAAAATCATAGTCTAAATAATAAGAATCCAAATTATTCTTCCTCCTGTTCCCTGAGTTTTGTTCCCTTTGAATACTCTGTGATGTAGAAGCATATCAGAGTAGCTGGAAAATCTATATTGTTCTTATGCAAGTCTGTAGTACGATATGCAGAAGGGTTGAGAGATAAAAAAACACCCCAAAAAAAAGATGTTAAAGAAAATGAGATTAAGTGCACATTAACTTCCTTTTAAAAAGAGGCTGAAAGTGAGATTGCTGTTAGGTGAATCACTGGTGACTGCAACCATCTTCCCACAGCACAGCTATCAAATTAAAAACCAAGGCAGCTAATGAAGGAATGTTTCACAGCTGTGTCCCCTTCACAGTTACAAAGCTCAATTGGGAAAGGAATTCTGATTCCTTCAACAATTCAGGAAATTAAAAGACTTGTGCTGTGTGTAGGTATGTAACCAACCTTGGCAACAAGGGCTTTTGCGATTTTTTGGAGGGTGGGTAGTAAAGCTCTCTTCTAGCACTACAAACTGTGGAATTACAATGAAGTATTTCTGTCTAGGAATTGTTTAACTGCTGTAAATGCTTCAGTTGAGAGTAAAAACTGTGGCCTTTTAATCCACAAGGCCACAGACTATGAACATTCGTATTAATCAAGTTTTGGTAACCAAGACTCCTTTGCTAGTAATACAGAACATCTAGTGATGTGAATACATCTCATGCATGGTGAAAGATACAATTCTGGGGTTAAAGCTGTGTACAGGAATTTGGAAATCTGGATTCTAGCAATAGTACGATCTCACTATATGTTTCTTCACTTCAAAAGACAAAGAGTCTTTCAAGAGTGTGTCAGTATCAGGAGGTATGAGAATGCAGAGTATTCCACTGACCTTAATACTACTAATATAGTAGAAATAGTAACACGTAAAGGAAAGAAGTCAGCTTCTATATGAAGAACCTCCAGGGGTAAAAGATATATTGACCAAACTGGCCAATAGTGACAGTATTAATCAGGTATTCCACCTGCAAAGCAATTATATTGGCCACAGTTTCCTTCTAGATCCAGCAGAAGAGACCTACATTCAAAAGCCTGGAAAAACCAATGGGTAAAAAAGGTAAGGCTATTTTCTTCAATACTTTTTGGAGCACAAGTGTTTATAAAAGTTTCATAAGAGTCTATGTGCATGCGTATATATGCATATCAAAATAGTATTTCTAGAAATATGATCTGAACACCACTGTGACACACTATAGTTGTATATAACTTTCCTTCTCTTTTTCTCATCTCCTTCTGTAGTCTACAGAAAGTGTCTTTTTACAAAGTGTCTCTACAACACCTTCCAAACTCTAGTGCTTTCACACAATGGTGGGAAAGAAAAAAAAGCATAGTAATAGCACTGTTTTCATCTCTGGAGCAAGCACTCTTAACACATCACACCAGACACGTGGTAGTCTGTTCTCTACCACTGAGAAACTGGAACAGCTACTGGGTGAATGTTCAATTAGACCGTCCTATGGACTTATGGTGAATAACTGGGCATGCTGCAGCTAATTACATCTTTGTCACTACTTCATTAGGTCTACAATTTCATCTTTTATTTCGTAGAACAAAAATTGAGACAAGTCCCTCTAAACCACAGATACCTGTGATAAATTAAATCTTTCTTCTGTTTTTCGTAGCTTAGCTTCTTCCTTCTCTTTGTCTAGCCCTTCAAGCCACTTCTGTTGCTCGTGCTTCAAAGCATTAAAAGGTCGTTCCTGTGGCAGAGCTTCCTGAAATAAGGTAAGTGCTGGTCTTGTACAAAAAATTCAGTACCTTGTCTAGCCACATAGTAAAAACTTGGCAGAAAACTGCTTTCAGTTGCTAGGCTTAAAGGGGCTGTTCTCTTGCACAAAAAAAATGAATGTAAGTTTGTAACTGTAGCAAGTGTCTCACTGCTCCATAAAAATGCTTCAGTTGTTAGAAAGATGCTAAATAAGCCAGTCTTTGAATACTATTCTGATTTAACCATCAGCCTCTCATTAAAAAACAACTACCTTACTTATATATATCGTGAATAATAAACCTTTTCTTCTTCCTATGGTTCACTGCTCAGTCTGTGTTCCAGGGAGATTCAGCATCATGATCTAATTAGTAGTCATCTGTCTCATGTAAATTCTAGATACCATCTTCTGTTCCTGCTTCTTAATGGATACCTGTATCATTTAACAAACTTCAGTGGCACTGAGAACTTTCAACGCTACCCAACGAAAAATGCTCTTCAATCAGTGCCTACTAGCAATAACTCAAAAAGTACTTCTTGAACCTTCTGCCATCAATGTATTTTTTTTTTAGTGTCTTCTATTTCTGATAGGTTCCCACTTGTCCATTTCTTTAGCACATACTTTAAAGCTAAATAACACTTCAGCTCACACTTCTAGTCCTGTTCCTCACATCAGCCTTGAAAATGTTCTGTCTTCAAAGCATCAGTATTTTGATATTCATTCAGACACAATTTTCTACATAGAGCAAAAAGGTCTACTGAATTCTTCTGGTTTAAAAGAACTACGTAAGATATACCTTTGTCAATAAATAAGTAAAAAAAACCTGCATGCAATTTAAAATCTTACCGCTAAAACAACTGCTGTGCAATTGACAGCTGGTAAGTCAGAAGAACTGATATCAGAAGACTGCCCAGCTGGAGCACTTGAAATATTCAGTGGAACTTCATTAGGCTCTGTGGTTAAAGCAGTTGTACAAACAGAGTTTTCCTCAGTGGCAGTAACTGAGTCAGCTGGAAACACTGTCTGCAAATAAAGTGACAACTGTTGTTTAAGACGATTTATCTAGCTCACCTGTTTTGTTTGTATTAAATAGCCCTTATCATTTAATGAACAAGTAAATTATACTTCTAGAAGCTGCTATTCATTAAAACTTCAGCCAAAACTTGTAACTAAGCATTTCATATCCATATTTCTTAATTATGTAGATTGAAACAAATTTTTAAGGGGCAGAGACTATTCCTCAAAACAGAACTGGAAAATCTTTATACCTTTTAGCTAGTAATCAATATGGAAGGACAGGAATGGGTTGTTCATGCCACAAAGATCTTAATTTGTGAAGCTACAAATCAGAGCAATAGGTTAGTGTGAAACAGGGAGTTGCCGCAATTCATGCCATGGAAGAGCTTAAAGTGACCACTAAGACTGGATTCTACTGAATTCATACTGAAAAGAAAATCTTGTCTGAATTAGAAGTTCAACAGTTCTGGAATAATGCTGTGGAAACTGTGCTTTTTTTGTTTATTGATAGCCTTACCTTATCTGGGTCAGTTGTTTCTGCTTTCTCTTTATGGGCTTTATTATTGCCAGGTTTTGTCCAGAAATAACCCACCTCTCCCTCCAAAGTTTCTTTAATTTTCTTCTTCAGTGCCACCTGTTCATCTTCAAAAAAACAAACTCTTATTAGAGTTCCTAAGACAGATGTGTAGCAGGTTTTTAAAAAAAAAAAAACCAAAAAACAAACACCAAACCAAACACACCAAAAAAGCAGCAATGCATGTCTACCCTGTAATTATGATTGTAAAATGGACTACAAGAGTAAGTCACCCTTGTCTGACCAATCAGTCTAATCATGACTTTGCTCTTAAGACAATGGCACCTGAGTCTCTGCCCAGAGATGTAAAGGTAATCGGGGAATCTCTCAGAGAAGACTACAAAACACTGAAGGCTTAACGATGCCCCAGGGGAAGAGGGAAAACTAGCAGAAATAACCAAGTATATAAATTATCTCCACTTCATTATACCTGTTTTGAACTACTGTAGTATTATTAAAACCAATGGAGCTATACATGGAAGCTACTGACAATGCAGAATCAAACCCCGAAACCAGATGGTCTACACCCAAGTTGAAAATAAAACACAACACTCCTGCATATGAATCATAAAAAGCTTAATTTGTCAGAGAGAATTTACTACTGCGTTAAATATTTTGGGTTTTCTACAGAGATTCCCCTTGGTTGGTGATGGGGCAGGACTGCAAACGGTTTCAAGTGCAAGTTGTAATTTGATATATTCAGTCATGCTTGTAGATTAGAGTGATGCTTTTCCCATTAAAAACCAAATGAATTTGTTAATGATAATGGCTATCAACTACCAGCAGAATGTGACAAAATCAGTGGCAAGTAACTCCTAAAATATGAAGCATAACTGAATATACTTGTGATAATATATATTGGGTTAAGAAGCATTTTTTCAAGAAGTTATAGATAACCTTTGCATAAAATTTTGAAATTCAAGAATCTTAACTGTCTTGGAGTTAAGATAAAGAAAGTACATAATAAATCTATGTACTTTCCAATTTGTAGCAACTGCACTGATACAATTAAGTTTAAAAGCGCTTAAGGAACACAAAGTTTCTTGGCATCCTGAGTGTAATAAATTGATCAAAAATATATTATGTATATCATAAGTACCTAATTCCTTCTTCCATTGGGTCTTTCTAAATTCTAATAAGGCTTTCTCCCCTTCTCTTTCACCCAAGGTACTAAACATGTCAGCAGGTTTCCACAAATCCTTTCTAGAGAAAAGGAGGGGAAAAAAAATTTTACCTGAAAAGATAATGTTAATTTTAAAGGTAACTTTTTAATTAGTATTTAGAAAGATTCTTAGTGTGATTAAGAATTACAGTACGAATCTTTATTGGAGATGCAATTTTTGTAGGTAATAACACAGATCTACGTACATAACTTTCTGTCCTGGATGCAGATATGCTTCTTGTTTCCTGCTGGAATCAGAGCTAGCTTCATCTGCAACAGGTGAAACTTCACAAGCTTTTTGGAGCAACACCCTAATATTTTCTTCTGATGCCTCATTAGTAGCTGTGGTAAAATATAAATATATTAAAAAATATACATATGACCACTTAACTTTCTTCAGCATTGTGTAAATACTTTAAGAACAGCAGAAATTTGCAAATTCCCCACTATTTAACAAAACTGCTTTCACCCCTGCTTGTATGGTTAAGGTACATAAGTTACAAAGTTGCAGGGTATTTTTAGAATGCTAGACTTACAGTAAACACTATTTTGGGCTAAAAGCTCAGACTTCAGGACTCTAATTACTTAATTGCAGTGTGTCTTTCTTGGTGGCAAAGAGCTGACCACCTCCATAGGTCTACAAACAGGAGAAAGGATGTAAAACAAAAAGATAGGCAATAGTTCGTATGGTTCCAAGCGGAAGAATTGAGAGAGAAAAAAAAACAAAACCAAAACAAACCCACAAACCTACTCAAAGGTTAATGCAGTAACATTACAGTTAGGCAAAAAGATACATGTACATCTTTGGGCCAGAGGAAAATGGCATTACTGTTCTTGAAACACATAGCAAGACCTAAACTCTTCACAAAACCAGAAAGGCCTATCTCTTTGAGGTATTGGTTTTTTTTCAAACTCCTAACAGTAACGGTACAGTGCAGTTCTACTATGTTTCCCCCCCGCCCCCCAGTTTAAAATGGTTCCTTTTTTGCATGAAATATTGACAGAATTGCTTGTTGTTTTGCTCTTCAAAGTACTGGAATACTGTCAAGAAATCCTCAGTTTTTACTGTTAAAATTATCAAATGCTTGGTTCCTAACAGTAACAGGCAATTTCACATCCATAATAGCAAGTAGTATTTTGTCTGAGACCATTAAACTTAACAGTAGCATCTCTGCAACCTACAAATGAACTTAAATTATGAACAAAAAGTTAGGCTTTCACGTTTTGCTCTGTTCCTGTGAAAACTTACTCAGCTACTGGTATCTTACCAACTTCCTCTTGCTTTTCATTATGAATCTGAGAGATGCTTCTAGTTCCTTCTTTTACAGTCATCAAAATCTGTTGAAGCTGTTCTTGTGTTAAACACACCAAATTTCTGAGGTCTTCAGCTGATACACATGGGGTTTGAGGTTTCTGTTTACTTTTTTTAACAACATTAGGATTCTCTGAATGGGAATATCTGTTTGTGCTATCTCTTTGGAAAATCGAAGAGTGATCTTTGGTTATGGCTTCACGTGAGGAGTGTTTAGTAACTTGCAGTTTTTCACCTTTTGTCATTGATAAGCTTGATTCACTCCTTGGTTTTGTTAAGTTTTCCTGCTTGATACAAGCAGTTTGTGTTGACCTCACAACATGTCCAGTATGCCTTATTCTCAACGCCTGTTTAGGTGCTCTGGCTTTATTACCCATCTGTTAAAACAGTAAGATTTCACCATATATTAAATAAGGAAATAAACGTGCATGGCTAACAAACGAAAACAAGATTGAAGCAACAAGTAAAATAAATGTCATTTTCTTCGCTGTTATGTCAAGAGAAACTAACTTAGTATAAACTAATGAAGTATCTTCACGAGTACTAGGAATGCCTTGGAAGAGCATATAGCACCTAGATTTTCATATTTTAAAATGACCGTATAAAAAATAAATTTATGTAAGATAACATTTAAAATAATTAATAAACATTAATTCTGCTTCTCTTTGGTGTTTCTGAAGCCTGGCTTCAAACAGGTATATGTATTCACCATACAGCCAGTGTTAATTCAATCTTGATTCTTCTGTTCTGTACTAAAGTTTTATCCTTTTCCAGGTCCCTGATGTAGATGTACACTTATAATTTATCTTCTACATATTCAGACCTTTTTCTGCTTTCTTTCCTTCCCCAACCTGCTGCATTCCAGTTTACTCACACAGATACAACCTATACAACTAATTCGAAACTTAAACGCCCTTCAGATCCCTATTTTACCAGAATCCCTTTAAGGTCTCTGAAAGTTCTGATTCAGATGATTCCCTGTGCCTGTTGTAACTTCTTGACAAAGTAAACTAAAGCATTGTCACAGAACTTTTAATTCATTCTTTTTTACTGCTATTATGAACCTGAGAAATACATATTTATCTTTCCTAAACACCAATGATTACAAGTATTTAGACAGTTCAAATGTGTTCTCAAATTTCTGTGTTAATAAATTAACTAGTTAATTTGTGTGCTCTAACAAAAAAAAGTCATTTTTCCACTTACCTTCATTGTAGGCTTTGATTTATCTTTTGGGAAACAAATGCAAACACATAAGAGAAGTAATTAGTAACAACTTCCTCCTGAAAAAAAAATCTTGAGAAATTAATAAACGGTTACATTCACTTGACTTTTGTAAGGCAGTGGGGAAATACTTTCCCCATAACATCTGCTGCAATTGTATTATTCTATGTTTTTTAGATATCAGTACACACACTTCAGAAATCTTGGAAAAAAATTAGATGTATTTCAGCAACTATTTGCAATTTTATATGGATCTAATAAAATTATTGCATGAGACTGGTTGTCTCCTTCATTCTGTTTCTGAGAGCCCTGTGGTAATGGCTTGTTTTTAATTGTTTGGGTTTTGTGATCTTTTCAGTTTGCTTTCTGTGTTACATCCTTCCAGGATAGTCTCTGTAATCCAGCCCCATCTTAGTACACGATGTTATCCATTTCCATCACCGACAGCCTAAAGAAACAACACTTGCATAATCACACCATCCATTATTGTGCCCCTTACCTGTGCCTTGAAATATTCTTCAGTCTTTTAACTCAAATCCTAGAGGATGCACAAACATGTAGTGGTCTCAAAAATAATATTAAGTACTATATTTAATGTAATACTTATTAATAAAAAAGTTGAAGTATTGATTAATAGAGGGAATGTAGTACTCAACACAAGAAATCCTGCACATATGGCTAATGGAAAAGGGGGAGAAAATAGTAGGGATGGTATTTTCATGGAACAGATCTGTTGGAAACAAGGTTTCTTCAGCTGCACTATGCAGTTATTGCTCTGGCAGTGGTTGTTGCACATTTTGCACTGGCAGCATCTGTACTTTTTTTTTTTTTTTACATTACACTGGGGAACACAGTTCTTGAAGTCTGCAAGACTACACTACTAATAGTTTCCAACCTAGATGAACATTCTAAAACTTGGGACTACGCTAAATTGCCTTGTAGAGACAGGCATTAAATCCTGAACCATCTTGATACTGTTTCAGTGGTAACGGTGTTCTGCGTCCATCTTTATCACTGGGTTCTCAAGCATTCAACACTCATCTGAGTAGGTAAAGGTCACTTCTTGACTTCTTTCTGGCTATTCATAAATTAAGTAAGTTGGGATTCTACGTGCTATGTAAACCCAACTTCTCTGTGGAAAGGAGAAAGAAACATGGTCTTTGCCATCATAGTGGGGAGATACATAATGGGGAACTCCGAAGTGCTGCTTATGGGTTATTTTCTTTTTTTCCTGTGTAAAAGAGAAATGGCTGTCTCAAGTAGCAGCTTAAGCTACTACAGAAGAATCATACTTTAGCCCCCAAGACTGTGAGCAGTATTTGACAGAGCAGAAAACTGAAATTCAGAAGTAAGATAATTTGATGCAATTTTTGTCCCTAGTCAATTCAAGGACGTGCTGTTTGTGTCAGTTGTTTAAATCATGTTAATTCCTGAAGACTGCTTGTCCAGGGCTAGTTCAAAGTCAAAGGTAATGCTTTATCTTAGAGCACTCTGGAATGTACACTGCCCCTATCCAGCTGATGATATTGACAATGGTTGGAGAAAGTGAAAGCTGCAGCAGTACTGTTTCAGAGGTGTTCCAAGGTTTTGTTTCCAGTAGACCAGTATTCCTTACTGACTCAAAATATGCCATAATGCCTCATTAAACAGCTGTCTGGTAAATGCAGAAAATGAAATATAATTTAGAGGGCATTAAACAGAGAATTTCTGTACCCTGACTGCTACATAGAACAGTTAGGGAAAGTGGACTTGTGCTTGTACAGAAATGTGTGCCTGACAAATCACAAAAATAGAATTTATTAAAGCTTAATAATGAACATATATCGGAAAAGTCAACTTCAGATGGTAATAATGAGATCTGGCCTAAATAAACTGCTTACTGAAAATTATAAACTTCAACTTCCAAATACTAAAGCTGCTTTAAAGTCAGAAATGAGACTGCAGTGATATAGTTCTGTGTAAATTAAGCAGAGAGTTATTAGGCCTCCTTCCTTATAAGTAAGGTGCTATAAAGTTACAGAAATTCTCAAGTTATGTCAGTACTTAACTTTTTTTTTATGAATGGAGAGACAAGCTGTAAAGAGTCAAGACTATTTGCCAGCTGTTTACCAGTGGACAGACTACTCAGAAATTCAGGATCAACCTAAACCAGTGCCAAGCTGGTGGGTAAGAAGACATGTGAATAACAATGCACAAATATTTTTCCTAATTTGAAAAATATTTCAATAAAGCTGTGCTTCATATTGCTTGGATCTTAAGTTTAACTTCAAGAAGCTTTAAAGATTACTTGAGATAAATGATTAAAAAAAATACCAGAGGAAGCTAAAATTAGCCTAGGCTTTCCATCCAACACTTCAGTTTCAAGCTTCAGTCCATCTCTGCAAAATGAGAGAGAGAGAGAGAGGGGGGGGGGAATCTGAAATATTAAGTAATTTGATAATGGTAAGATTTTTACATTAATAAAGTACAATTGTACTTAATTGTAACACTGTATTTACTGTTGGTCCAGATGGGCTTTCATACCTCAAGCTTTCAATGTTTGTGAGAAGATACTTCATATGAAGAAATCAACTGGTCTTGAACAGGGCATATTTTTGATACTGGGAAAATTTGGATCTGCATGTTACAAAGTAAACCTTCACGCTGAAGGTGCCACTCTATACTGTTATACATAGCAATGTGCCTCCCTCAAGAACTTAATAATCCAACAGTATAAACTGTGTGCTACCAAAAATGCTAAACGATCTCCCTGAATGCCACCACTGATCACAAAGAGGGGCCGTATCCTGAAAACAGCCTTTAATTGTGCTTCCATGCAAAACAGTCCACCTTTTAAAGTGGAACAAAGGTTATTATAAGGGTTAAAAAAAAAAGTTAGCAATGTTTAGGTGTATGAGTGTAAATACCCAAAGGCTTTTCCTTCTTCCATGCATTTGAGAAATCGAATATGAAGACTAGTGTTCAAAATAACGCTTATCTTTAAACAAAAACCCAACCACCTAACACATCTAAAGCTCGCAAACCATTTTCTAATTAACACGGCAGCACAGAAGTGCTTGAAGCTGTAACTCTAGACGTTCAAGTAGCATACGGCAGCTAAGCCGAGCCCAGCACCTATTCTTTGCAGACGCTTTGTGCCGGCGGGAGGCGGCGGGGCCGCGGGAGGG